TAGATTTCTCCAATTCATCCTACGAAGAAATAACAAAATTGTATCTTTGTACTCTTTCTAAATCTAATGAAACTGATTCGTATAGAAAACGTTTACAATGTCGAAATCAATATGAAGAAGAAACAATAGAAAAATATGCTGATAATTTAGAAAAAATATATAATAAATGCAATTATGAAGAACAATTAAAAGAAAGTTTATGCAAACAATTTCGTAAAGGAATCCGCAATAATGATATAAAAAAATTTTTATGTAAATATCCTACATTATCATTCTATGAGACGGTATCAGAGGCCTTTAGATTTTTCGAAGATTTTGTAAGGAATAATAATATTTATCGTTTATCTTTAATAGCTGATGCATATAAATTAAAGGAAAAATTTGATTTTTGTGATTGGTTAAATAAATTCGAGTACTTAACCTTTGGAAAAGCAAATGATGAAATGATTACATTCTTCAATAAAGTAGTGGATGATAATGTTCATAAGCGGGTCAAAGAAAAATACTCTTCAGTCAACTTCTCTCAATTAACATACGAAAAAATAATAAACCTTTATCTTCGTTACTTTTCTCCTACAGATGAAATGTTTTTACACAGAAGACGTTTTTTTTGTCGAGAACTATATGAACAAGAAACGTTAGAGAATTATGCTAATTGTTTACAGAAAATACATAGTGATTGTAATTATACGTGTTACACAGATGAAAGATTATCCGAGCAATTCGTTAGTGGAATTCGCGATAGTGATATAAAACAATATTTAGATAAACTTCCTTACTTATCTTTCCATGAAACGGTAGCAAAAGCCATCGAATTTGTAAAAACTAATGAAATAAAAAATTATGTAAACCGAGCTCTTTTATGGATTAATGTAAACAATTCTGAGAATGTCCGTACATTTATAAAGTGGTTTAATAAATTTGAGTATGTAGCAGATATGATCAATGTACCAGAAGATAAAATGATTGCATTCTTCAATGAAATGGTGGATAATGATCTTCATAAGCAGGTTAAGATCACCAATATTTCTGTTAATTTTTCTAATCTTTCATACGAGGAGATAATAAGCCTTTACATTGGTTCTTTTAAAAAATTAAATAAAGCTTATATTCATAAGCAACGTTTTCATCAGCGATATCAATATGAAAAAGAAACAATAAAAGATTATTTTAAAAGTTTAGTAAAATTATTTGATAATTGCTTGTATGAACATATGTTTCCATTACGTTTTCAATTTCTGGAAGGAATTCGCAACTATAAAATAAGAGCCATTTTAAATGAACATTATAATAAAATGCCATTAAAAGATTTGTTAGCAAAAGCGATTGAACTTGAAAAATTGATCAACGAAAACAAAGAATTTTAGAAGTAGAAAAGAAAAGCTCAGAAAGATGAAAGAAGATCTGATAGTATAGATGGGAATCATGTGAAGGAAACTATTCTGAAATCTTGGACGGAAAACCGTGAACCTTTTAATAAAAGAAGGATTGTTGCAACGCCATATAAAGAGGGTGGTATGGTTGCGATCCAACTAACGCAATTTGGACTCGGATTAAAGCTACAAACGAAGTGTTTAGGACTATACAAAGTAAGCACGGTGTTAAAGAACGATCGCTATTTGATAAGGAAAGTGGGGAAACATGAAGACGTCAAAAGCGACCGATTCAACGAAACGGTGGTTCAAGAAGAAGAAGAAGAAGAAAAAGAGATCTTTAACAAGGATAATGAAAGTTAATCGCATATCTGAGGACAAATATGTTTGTCAGAACGGTCGAGAGTAAGAATGAGAAACTTTTAACATTTTTCGAAAGACGAGACCACCTTGCTTTGCTTAATATCATTCAACAATTGCAATTTCATTTTCTAACTAATCACTTTTCTAAGAAATTCAATTTGTGAATTTTTTGTTTCCATATGCAAATCATACGTTCAAATTAAGTAAATAAATAAATGTTAGTAATAAGATACATCATATCTAATACTATTGATCTAGTAATAATTAATATCGATTTTTTAGGTTATGTTGACTTAGGTTATGCATGAAATCAAAGGACATGAATTTATTATTACACTTTTATTACTAAATTATTCATGTAGACCATGTTAAATATAACATTTTTATTTTTCATCATTTATATGTTGCATCAATTATTTATTTGTGGTAAAAGATATATTACATATGTTATTTGAACTTATCATATATTACTCTTTCGTAAACTCGAAATTATCTAATGATATTTTGAGTACGCAAGCACTATGATTCAATTTCTGCTAAACGGGTTTCACTATCATATTCACTCGAATTATTTCGTATAACATTTTTGTACTTCTTAATATGTTTACAAACATTGTCAGTATAATGATATCACTTATAATATATATGACAAATTTTCAAATTTATTTTTCTCCAAATGAAATCTTATACGAACAAATGTTATTCTACATTTTCGAGTTATTAATAGTTATTCATGTATAATCATCTCATGCTCATCAAATAGGACACACTATATATCGCAATTATTTTCTTTTTTAATATTTTTTGTTTTATACTACTTTGACATAAGAAACAAAGTTTCACGTGATTAACCATTATTGTTTCTTCTCTGTTTTATTAAAAAAAAAAAAATAATAACAATTTAACTATACAAAGTTAAAAAGAAATGTCAATTATTATAATGGCCAACAATATTTTTATTCATTCGCCTAGTCAAAATTACTGATTATCGTTAAAATAAGTTATGCAAGAGAAAAGTATATTATTTATCATTTATAGTATACAAGAATTTATATTCGTGTTTATCTTTTTTCATTTATTTTAATTATTTTGTAATATAGAGTCAAGTCAGCATCATTCTTCTCACATGTTCAAGTAAAATATTATTACAGAATTACATAAATTTTTAACTTTAAATTCACTATTCTACAAGTCAAATTCTTACTTTTGCCTTAGAATGAAACTTGCAGAAGAATGAATTTAACTTGCAAAACTTATATTTGCGTAGATACATGCATATCGTATCAAATCTCTTTCTTTCACCACCTTATTTTCGACAAGTTGAAGAACATTGGTAAACAACGGTGATTAATTTTATCAACCAATATAACTTTAGCATTTAATTCTAATGTTTTAATTGTTTCCAACAAATTCTTATTTACTAGTTAAGTAATTATTATATTAATCACTGTACGATTTTGACATTTCGTGACTATTATAAAAATCTTATTTTCATTTACACTATCTTGTTTTTTATAGTACCTTATCAATTTCTCAACAACACCCTATACAAGCCCTATCAAATTGTTTCTTCTTTTTTAAATTAAAAAGTTAAATTAAGAAAAATAAAGAATTTTAAGAAAAATCGTCAATTTCTTGAAGTTCGCCATTTTTGAATTTTATTTTTATTTTTTTAAAAACAAAAACCTTCAATCAATTCTGCGATCGTGTATGTTTTGTTCATTTACAAACGTTCAAATTTAAAATAAATAATAAACAGTTTGCATATTAAACTTATAGTTAAATAAACCATTATTCTTATTAAGGACAAATGTAGGCCGCTGTAAACCATTCTCTCTCTCCTCTCTTATCGCAGAGCAATGAAGTTTACAATGTGAGTCGTTAGTATACATAGAACCTTTAAGATATTACAATAATTTCGGAATGTTGAATTCAGTTATATTTATAATTTTTTAAAACAGTTATTAAAATTCAATGCGACACAAAGATAAGTTACTTCTATATAAACATCAAAGATATCATACCAAATATAAAACGTTTACGCGTTGTATCGAAGAAAATAATTTTAAATTACATTACGCAAAGTGTATTGCTGTTATTGGCAAAAAGAGAACAAAAATTCGAACAAAGTAATTTCTAAAAATTATCTGTTTACGTACGAAAAATATTAGACAGAATGTACAATTTGGAAACATTGAACAATGAGGATTTATTACAAGAAGATGATCAAATATATAGTTATCAAAATCAAGTCGAAACATTGAACAATGAGGATTTATTACA